TTAATCTTCACAATAAATCTATCATGTTGGTACAATTATTTTTGCTTTACAAAGGCGTAGGAGTGGTAATTTGTACAAGATTCCGTTGAGTAAGTGGGGGGACCTCAGGATTCAACCCAAGGAGTTTTTGTGTTCTTTACCACCTCTCTACTGTCACATAAATTTTATTTATTTATTTATTTAAGACAGTGTTTCACTCTGTTGCCCGGGCTAGAGGGTTGTGGTGTCAGCCTAGCTCACTGCAACCTCAAACTTCTGGGCTCAAGCGATTCTCTTGCCTCAGCCTCCCAAGTAGCTGGGACTGTAAGGCGCATACCACTACGCCCAGCTAATTTTTCTATTTTTAGTGGAGACGGAGGTCTTGCTCTTGCTCTGGTGGTCTCGAACTCCTGAGCTCAAGCAATCCTCCCTCCTCAGCCTCCCAGAGTGCTAGGATTACAGCTGTGAGCCACCGCACCCAGCCGATGAATAATTTTTGATATGAAAAGATGTTCCTATTGTTAAGTGAATAAGCAGATTATAGAACAGTGTTATAGTATAATTCCATTTGTTCCAGTTACCAATTGCCACATAAAAAGCCACCACAAAATGTAGTGGCATAAAACAGTATATTATTAACTCCCTTAGTTTTGTGAGTTAAGTGGACTTAGCTGGGTAATCCTTGAGGAGGGTATTTCATGCAACTATACACAGACATAGCTCATGGAATCGTAGGAATTCTTTAATTTTCTCCCTTTGTTTATGTCTATTTTCTTAGCTTTCTGTAAGAGACACTTGTATTGGATTTGTACTAAGAAAACTAGTACTAGTTATTTAAAATTTTGCAAAATGGAAGTTGGCTGAGAAGGGAAGGAGAGAATGAAAAGACAGCAGCTAGAGAGGAGCATCGGGTGACTGGACGCTTTCTTTTGGAGGGGCTTCGGGAGGGGCTGGTTCAGCAGATTTTGAAACTGAGACAAACAGAACTCATATGCCATCTAATGGGAGTAAGAAATACTCAACACCTATGTAGTAGTCCTGCATCCTGCCTCCTCAGTGTATTTGAAAGTGCTTATCATGAGGAAACAATCAGATAAATCCAGATTGAAAAAGATTCTGCAAACTCGTCTGAACTCTTGAAGAGTTCAATGACTTAAAAGAAAAAAAGATGTCTGGGTGACTATTCTTAATTAAAGGAGAACAAAGAGACATGACAATTAAATACATAATCCTATATCAGATTCTGTACAGAGAGGGTCAATTATAAAGGACATTGTTGGAGCAACTGGGGAAATTTGCATTTTAACTATGGTATTCTGCATATATTAATTGTTCTGAGTGTTTGTTTTATCGTGACTAGCTAGCAGCATGTCTTGTTGTTTGAGGAGTGCCACAGAACAAAATTTCAACAAATTGAATTTTAAGGATCTAATTGGCTTTTTTATTAGTGATTCATGAATTAGGCAGCATCCCATCTACAAAACAGAGGGAGCTTGAATGAACTGAGAGGAGATGGTGGGCTTTATAGGCAGAAAAGGGCTGAAGAAAGCAGAAATAAGGAACAAAAAGCAGGTTGGTCATTTCCAAGTTACTTTATTCTCTAGGGCTAACACAGAGGGGATTTCCCTATTGTCCTGGCTCAGGTAGACTAGGTGTCTTCTGATGGGTTGCTGTGAATCTTCTGGTTTTTTTTGAAAACTGGCCCATTTTTTGTTTGTTTGTTTGTTTGTTTAGAGATGGGGGTCTCACTATGTTCCCAGGATGGACTTGAACTCCCGGGCTTGACTAATCCTTCTGCCTCTGCCTCCAGAGTACCTGGGACTACAGGCATCATTTTAAAGTTCAGTTTGATTACATGGCACCTGGCATGAACTCAGTCCAAAATAATGGCCCTCTATAAATTTTATTTAACAGGAGATACATGCTGAAGTATCTAGGGGTGAAGTGTCATTATATCTATAACTACCTATATACAGTTCAGCCAAAAACAAAAAGAGAGACATCAATTGTGGGGAAATATAACCATTGGTGATTCTAGATGAAGAGTATATTGATGTCTATTTGTACTATTTTTACATAAGCCTTTCTGTAGGTTTGAAATTTTTCAAAAGGAAAAGTTGGTGGTGGCCGGGGGTGTGATGATATTTGATTTCCTCAGCTATTGGGGATAAGGGAGGTGAAGGGTGCTCTAAGTCAGATAGTTCAGGTGTGAGTATCTTTGATATGGTTGCTTTCTGTGCTGTCCCAGACCTTTTCTCTAGTTTCTTAACAATTCCACGAGCACCTGATAGGCTTCTAGTACATTCCCTTTTGTTTAAGTTAACCATAGTGAATTTCTGTCATTGCAACCAAGAATATGAAACATACAAGGGCTGTCCGGAAAGTATCCAGTCATGTAATATGTTCTTGTTGCAGTAACAATGGCTGGATGCTTTCTGCCCTCATAAAGCTACCATGTATATAATAAACACCACATAAGAAGTTTATTCCACACAGTTTTAAGGTAATCAAATGAACGTATTTTGAAATATTTGGGGAAGGTATGGTGTTCATGCCTACTAATTAAATGTGTCAAAAGTGAAACCCAATGCATTTCCCAACAAGTTTTCTCTCTTTGCATATGAACCGAACATAGTGCTAATTTTTGGCCTCAAACTGCTCTTGTTTTTTATTGTGTGTTTCAGGGTCAATCACTTCAAGTACACTTTAAGTACATTACATGAATAAAACAGATTGGAATTCAGTTGCTGAGGGACACATGGCAAGAACCTGGGCTACTGGCTCACACTTTGAATAAATTTGCTTCAGCACTGACAAAAATCATCAGGACCACATTTCACTTTCCATAAGAACAAGTTTCCATAGGAAAATTAGGAGGTAAGGAGAATGAGAGAGCCCCTTAACACTTCAATGACCTGCTATGTACAGTGTACACCTGACATCTTGTTTTTAATCCTTACAACTCTGCAGTAAAGGTATTGTTATCTCCGTTCTACAGATGAGGAATCCACATGCACAGGGGGTTTGAGTCTAGATCGAGCCCAAAGCCATGTTTTTTTCAAAATGCCATGTTGTCTTTGAGTGGATAGGTATGAAGAGGCCTTCCTGGGAACCACATTTCCCATAATTAGAGCAGAATGTAAATGCCTAAAGCAAAACTTTGACTGATTTCCTCTTTTCCAGCTGGAACCATGGGTATTGAAGAGAAGAAAAAGAAGATTCCTGCTATCTCAGAAATCCGTAAGAAAAAGTGAAGGAATTTACAGAGCTGAACATCAAGTGCCTGAAAAAGAAATTTGCCCAAAAGATGCTTTGAAAGGTGAGGAGAAACAGGAGAAACCTGTACCTATGAAAAAGCTAAGCACTATCACAAGGAATACAGGCAGATGTACAGAACTGAGATTCGAATGGCTAGGATGGCAAGAAAAGCTGGGACCTTTATGCACCTGTGGAACCCAAATCATCATTTGTCATCAGGATCAGAGGTATCAGTGATATGAGCCCAGAGGCCTGAAAGGTGTTGCAGATTCTTTGCTTTCACCAGATCTTCAATGGTAACTTTGTTAAACTCAACAAGGCTTCAGTTAACATGGCTGAGAATTGGGCCACGCATGGTGGCTCAGGCCTGTAATCCTAGCACTCTGGGAGGCCAAGGTGGGAGGATCACTCAAGGTCAGGAGTTCAAGACCAGCCTGAGCAAGACTGAGACCCTGTCTCTACTAAAAATAGAAAGAAATTAACTGGACAACTTAGAATATAGAGGAAAAAATTAGCCAGGCATGGTGGCGCATGCCTGCAGTCCCAGTTACTCGGGAGGCTGAGGTAGAAGGATTGCTTGAGCCTAGGAGTTTGAGGTTGCTGTGAGCTAGCCTGACACCAGGGCACTCTAGCCCAGGCAACAGAACAAGACTCTGTCTCAAAAAACAAAAAACAACAACAAAAAAACATGGCTGAGAATGAATATATTGCATGGGGAAACCAAAACCTCCAATCAGTAAATGAACTGATCTACAAGTGTGGTTATGGGTAGAATCAAGAAGCGAACTGCTTTGACAGATAATTCTTTGCTAGATTGATCTCTTAGTCAACATAGAATCATCTGACTGGAGGATCTGATTCACAAGATTTATACTGTTGGAAAACACTTCAAAGAGTCAAACCACTTCCTGTGACCCTTCAAATTATCTTCCCCACAAGGGGGAATGAAGAAACAGACCACCTATTTTGTAGAAGGTGGAGATGTTAGCAACAGAAAAGATCGTATCAACAGGTTTATTAGATGGATGAACTACAAGGTGTCTACCATGATTTTCGTAACCTGGTCAGTTAATATCACCGCTCTCAAATCGGAAAAAACAAAAACCCAAACAAAACTGATTCCTTCAAGACCAGAATATACTTTTTGCCTAGACAGTACTTTGAAATAAAAGGCAATAACATCAACTTTTATGCTTGCTTTTTGACTTTTTAAGACAGGTAATCCTCTTCTCTCTAATAGAGAAAAACTACCAAATAAAGGACAAATAGCAATCATGGAAAACAATGTCAAAAATTACACCACAAGGAGGTAAGTGCACTGAAATAGAGACCCCCAAGGTGTGGGGCAAAGCCTGTACATCTAAATTCCAAGAACAGGCGCTTTCGGACAGAGAATACCAGGAAATGACTTTACATTTTTCCAGACTTTCAATATACTTTATGTTTCCCAGTAGGATAACCCAGCGCCTGGACCACGCCCACAAATGTTGGTCTGGCGAAGCGGCGGCAGCGAGTCCCGGCTAAATACAGCCCGGTCCCGCCCCTGCCCCGCCCCGGTTCTGCTCGGCCCCGCCCAGCACCCGCACGCATTGGCAAACACTCGCGCCTGCGCCCACGGGCTCTGCGGCTGTAGGCGGAAGTCGCGCATGCGCTGGGTGGGAACGCTGTTTCTTTTCCCCCACCCTTTTTCTCTGGGGCTGGGTTGGCGAGAGGGTGCTTCCGGGTCGGAGGATTTGTTTCCGGAGAGCGGGAAGGCTAAAACGCGGTGGCTAAGCTGCAGCCAAGCTTGGTTCTGGGTGGAGAAGGCTGTAGCCATGGACAGGTCAGTTCTGGTGGTGACAGCTGAGTCCGGAGTCTTGTCCCTCTTGCCTGTCGGCGGAAAGAAATAGGTGAAACCAGACTCCCAGAGGAAGCCGAGGAGGTCCTGGGTGCTACCCCTAGGACACCTTTCCCCGGTTGGGAGATTCGACAACTGATGGAGGAAAGGCCACTTGGTCTGGGTGGGGATAATGGTAATCCCCTACCTTCCCACTGCGCTCTACGTTCTAAGATCTATTCGGTGCTTTCAGGCAACGGCGTCGTTCGCTACTGGGGTGGGTGGAGTAGCTGGTGGCTCGGCATTCCAGATTCTAAGAGACCAGCCTGAGATCACAAAGCCAGTTAGTGACGATGCTGGGATCTGAGGCCAGACTTTCTGATTCCAGGCGCCAGCAACAGATAGTTATTGAGTTCCTCCTAGGATCTGGGCCCCATGCTAGCTGCCTGCGACAAAGATTAGTTATTCAAGGTCTTTGGACTTGGGAAATTCGTTGTGTAATGGAGGAGACAACCAAGCAATGTAAAGTGATAAGTGTTTTGGAGCAATTAAGTCTTCCTGTCACGATAACTATCAGGAAGACCATTCAAAGGAGGTAACTTTCTTTGAATAATAATAGTACATTATTACTACTCAAAAATATTGAATGCCAACTATGTGACTGCATCGTACATTTAATCTTCAGAACAATCCTGTGAAGATAGGTACTGTCATCCTCTTTTCATAGATAACACTGAGGCTAAAAGAGGTTAAGGAACTTGCTCAAAGTTAAGCTAATAAACAGAAGAACCAAGTTGCCAGCCTGGATTTGTGTGACTCTAGCCTCCATGAGGCTGTTTAAGGAGTAAGTAGGTGTTCACCAGATGGAAAAGGGGGCAAATGAAGGCCTCTGTAAAAGAAACAACATGTTCAAAGGTGTGAGGATATGAAAAAAAATACATACTTTGTGTAGCTGAAAGGTCACATGCAGTGTATGTTTGTATGGGAGTGATGCTTGTGGCTGAATATAAGGATGAACCCCTAAACTGGGGTCACGTTTTAAGTATCACACTAGGAAATTTGAACTTGATTCTATAGGCCAGAGAGAGCTATCTGAAGGTTTTAAGTGGAGAAAAAGCACATTAGAGTCTTGTCTTAAAACACAGGTCTTTTAATCCACATGATTTAGTTTCTAGACCTTCAATGAGAATGATAGTGGTGGGACAGGACAAAGAGACCCTGGGAAGAAATAATTTGAAGGGTTATTTCTCTCCAATTTACTGGAACTGTTTTACTTACTCTCCCATCTCACTAGCTCCAATTTTTTTTAATAGTACCCATGGTTTGAAGTATTTTGGAAACTGCAGAAAATCTTTTAAGAGATAGTTCTTTGCAGTTAGGTAATTCCTCAATCCAACAGAGGAACGATTTACCTTTATGAACCAATCACCTAAAACAGTGTTATAACATAGATTCCAAGTATTGAAATAATAAAATAACATAGTGTTAGAAAGTCAAAGAAGTCTTTGGGTAAGATTTGAATGGGACTCTGAGGAGTAAACAGGATGTGGAACCGAGAGGGCATTCTCAGCAAAAAAAAATCTAAGACTTGGCTACTGGAATGACCTATACCTTAACTGACTCAGAGTCCTTTGCACCAATGATGATGATAAAATTCTTTGTAAATGCTACATTCTCATTTTATTTACATGAGCTTGATTATACAGTCTTAGGAGTGGCTTTGGAGAGATGTCATCCCCTGTGATCCGGGAGGCAGAGGTGACGCGGACTGCACGGAAACAAAGTGCTCAAAAAAGAGTTTTAAGTATCCTTTGCATTTTAAGCATCATTATAAAAATTGCAACATATTTGGAATCAGTGTCATAGAATTTTTATGAGGGGTATTAAATGTTAGTTATAATAAAATCCTGTAGAAATTAGTTTTTTTCACTCCACAGATAGGTATTTTATAAATATAATGTTGAAATTTAATGAGATTAAGATTTATGTTTCCCTGAAAATAAGGATATCCATTTTACTGCTGTCATAGTATGGTTACCTTCTACTGAGATTATGTTTGCTTTTTAAATTGGAAATCTGACTAAAAACTCTTATTTCAATGTGTTATCTAAGACAGACATCTGACAATTTAAATGGCAGAGGAAATTATAGTTATTTACTCTTTGCATAGAAAAATGAAAAATAACTTGTTCTTGAAAAACATACATACATAATTTGTATAGTAAAAATATGGTTAATTCCAACTTTAATGATCTCTTTTCTACATAGAAAACTTTTCTTAACTTTTCTACAGTTCGGGCATCCCAAGAGGATAATTTTGGTAATACTACACCAAGAAACCAGGGTATCCCTCGAACACCCGGCTCATTTCGACAGCCTTGTAAGATTTTTTGCTTTTAAAGCATTTAATAACAACAATAATTATAATAGTGGCTAATTATTATTGTATACATAATAACTATAGTATTTGGTTACAATATCAATAATTAAGCACAAATAATAATGACTGCAGTTATTATTTGTTTAAATCTTATCATGAGCAAAGCACTGTACTTTACATAAATATACAGTAACCAGGACATAGTTATTGTTATCTCTGTTTCACCAAAACTGGAAGCAAAACATTTAATACAGGTTATAAATATGTAAATAATGGAACTAGGATTCAATGATCTGTTTACTCCAAAGTATATGCCTGCTATACTATGAATGTATTGCCTCAGTACGCTTTATAAAATTAGAATATGAAGAATCCAATGAGTCATTAAGGTCTTTAACTGATCATTTATGTTATAATGAAAGCATCTATTTTTACGGTAAAATTTTTCCTAATAGTCTCAGTAGTACCAAGAGGTCAAATTTAGAAAAATAAATTAAATCTTTGTATCATGGAAAATGTTAACATTTAAGGTATTTATTAGGTTAGAATATAAGTAATTAAAAACAAAAACTGTTTATTGTTTCCTTACTTTGTTTTGATAATCAATGTTCATGCACCTTGAGTTCTTTTACTAACCTCTTGTTTGTAGTTACTCCACCAAACCGAAGCTTACTAAGGCAGCCAGATATTTCCTCCATTCTTGGAACAGGAGGGAGGTCTCCCCGGCTTACACAGTCTTCAGGGTTCTTGGGCAATCTGTCCATGGTATGTAGAAAAACAGGGCTGAAAACTTCTCCTTTTTTATAAAAGTATATTTGGCTTAAAAACCTTTTAATTAAAATTGAAGTCATATCATAAAAGTAACTCTAGGTTATGTGATTGAAATGATTGATTAGACATTCGAAAAACTGAAAACCTTACACATTTCATGTCACAGGTGGAAACTGTGACACCAGCAACATTTAGATACAGATAAAGTGTTTTAATCTGGCAGTTTGCTGACCAGAAGAAATATATTCTGTGGTCATTTGCTGATGGCTAGAAAAGCTGAGCCCTACTTTGAAGCATAGAAGAGTAGGAATCCAGGGATGATAGATAAAGAATATCATGAGGAAGAGGGACAATGTATTAAAGGGGATAAAAGAGAAAATAGGAAAAAGTAGGTAAGATGCTCTTTAGGAATTGCTGTGGTACAGTATTGAAAATAGTGGAAGAAATGTTATTAAACTTTGATGCAGAATGACTTCACCTATGTGTCAGAAATACTCTATAGAAAAGAAAGAATTATATCTGAGAAGAAGGAAACAGAAGAGTTTTGTTGGAGTAGTAGAGTATTGTGGCATATTTAGTACCAAAAGCAAGACAAAAATGTTTCTCCTATCTTTAGCTCTGTGTTATTAAAAAGGCACAGAGATTTTTATGCACATGTGAAATTGTCTAAATTAGGTGTTTTTTGAAGGATAGTTTTTGTGTTAAACCTCTCCTTATCACAGAAGGTGAAATCAATCTTTAGAATTTATTATAGTTGCCCCGGAATGGTGGCTGATGCCTGCAATCCTAGCACTTTGGGAGGCTGAGGCTGTAGGATCGCTTGAGGCCAGGAGTTCGATACCAGCCTGAGCAAGAGTGAGACCCCATCTCTATAACAGAAAAACTAACCAGGCATGGTGGCGTGTACTTGTAGTCCCAGCTACTTGGGAGGCTGAGGCAAGAGGATCATTTGAGCCCAGGAATTTGAGGTTGCAGTGAGCTGTGATCATGCCATTGCACTCTAGCCCAGGTGACAGAGTGTGACTCTGTCAAAAAAAAAAAAAATTCATCATAGTCTTGTGGATTTTTGGAGTATTAATAACTAAACAATGATCTAGTCATTGAACAATTTTACTTTGCTTATGAAACTGGTTATTTTGGCAGTGTCTGTTTTGTTCTACTAAAAATATAAGTGAATCAGCCATCTCTGGGTTTAAGCAAAAGAAGAAGGCTTTATTATTATACTGCCTCAGAACTATAAGATTAATAGTAAAATTGTTGTTCTCTTAAAAGCCAGAACAGAGAAAATGTGCATTGATTATTATAAAATTACTTTGTAGTCAAAGATATTTTTCCATTTTATTTTGCTAATTTGAATATCAGCCATGACAGGTGGTCTTGGATATAGGTTGCCCTAAAGGAAGTAAAATTATTTGCTATGTTAATATTTTTACCATATGTCTGGCTACCAAGATTTGATTTTGGACCAAAGTATTTTTCTGAAAGTAAAACGTCATTGTTGTTTAAGATGTTCAGTTTTATCCTTATACTAATAATGCTAAGTACTTGGAAGTGAACTGGTAATCAGTCTCTAGAAGCTGCAGGTAAGCTGTCCTCATCCCATAGTTACTACCTCAAGAATATATAAGATCCCATCTTTAGCTTTTTTCCTTGGGGAGACTGATTTATTTTTTTACTTTTTTTTTTTTTTTTTTTCCCCGAGACAGAGTCTCACTCTTTTGCCTGGGCTAGAGTGAGTGCCATGGCGTCAGCCTAGCTCACAGCAACCTCACACTCCTGGGCTCAAGCAATCCTT